AGGAACTAAGTTTTAGATTAATCGCGTAAGAAAGAGAGACGTTTCTTTCTACACGAAAGTGTCTGAAGTTTTATTCTTTCGCCAATTTGGGATAACAATACCATATCCCTAATGTAGTGCTAAAATATGTGCCAAGACAAATGCTGGTTATAAATTGGGGGTTCAACTGTACAGGACATGTATTCAATTGAGCTCTGTGACCCAAGTTGAAGGACTCTGATTGTTGAAGCAGAAAAACGGAAAAAAATTCAATTTTTAATTTTGGCGTATTTTTTGCAGGTTTGTTTGAAAGCTGGCTTGGAAACGAGTGCTTGGACAGTATTCTCCCATTTGGCGATTTGGGGCTCGATCGCAGCCTGGTTTTTATTCCTGGCCATGTACGCGAACTTCTGGCCCACAATCCCGTTTGCGTCCGAAATGACGGGCATGGAGAACATCACGTTTTCATCGTTGGTTTTCTGGTTTGGATTGGTGCTTTTCCCGGTGATCGCCTTGTTTGGAGACATTGTTTTCAAAGTGTGAGTCATCCGTTCATTTCGATTTCAGTATTCATGCACTGATTCATATCATTGTCAAGCGAGGAAATCGGAATAGAGTGAAATCTCATTACAACGAGCTTGTGGGGACTTCAAAAAAGTTTGTTATCCTGAATAATTTGTTTTAGCGATATTTTCAAAATTGAATTACTGGAAATAATTTTTACATCAGACCTGCCTATAATAAATTAGATCTTGCTTTTCTTACATTCTCAGATTATTTTTTCATTGTAGCTTGAAAAACGGAGTGATCTTCTGAAGAGAAAAAAACATTTATTATAATCATGCATTCCATCAATTGCACCAATCTCTTCATTTTGGGTGGATGACGTGTTGAACAATTTGGTAACATGTTTTTCATTAATTACATCTTCCATCCATGCTAGAAGTCACATTTGGGATTCGAAATTTCAGTATGTGCCTGCCTTGGTCAGGAAATGTTCACCTAGAGAATCCATTAAACATTCCCTCCAAAACTTTTTTAGAAGAGATTGTTTTAAAATGCATTACTGTATTTGAATTTTGTGTGAGGACTTGAGGGAACGTTTGTTTTACTGAAATTTGTTTGTAATAAGGTTTTACTACATAGCTTGTTGATTTTCATACACAGGATCAAGACGACTGTTTTTAAGACGATGGCGGAAGCAGTTCGTGAGAGCGAAATTTTGAAGAAGGATCCTGGCAAAGTTCTATTCAAGCAAAGGTACGTATTCTAGACTTGGTAGGAACACGCAAGCCGATTTCAACATCAACTAGTCACTGCATTTTATTCCCACGTTGAGATCTACTTCGATGCAATTGTGACGGTTTTTATTTATTTTTTTTACGGTGTGTGTGGGTGTGGCCGAAGTCTCATTTGGATTTTATGCTATTTTTTTTTCCTTCCTTTCATTGTGGCACTGTGTGACAGATTCACTGAGACAGCGAGGTTGCTGAAGAATGTGAAAAATGTGTTCAGAAGAACCCCGACGAGGGCGGATTTGGAGGTTGAACTCGCACGTGAGTTTTTCTCGCTTTAAATGCACGTTTTTTTTTTTCTGTTGCCCAAATTTGCAAGTGCTTTTGCTTCGGAGACCCCGGGATATTTGAAATTGCAGTGTTTTTCCAGGGGATTCAACACGTGTGTGCAGTTGTTTGGTGTGCACCAGAAAACAATGAACCAATTCTTGAAAGGTCGTCGGTATCGGAAAAGTGCCAAATTGAGGCTTATTCAAATTTATTTTGAACGATTTCTCATTTATCCTGTAATTGTCATAGATTTATTATCTCTGGCTACTCGCACGGGGTTTTTTTTTTTCTCGCCCTGTGGTTTTCGTTTTTGAAATTTTGCAACTGAGACTTGTTCAGTTATTCGCGTGAAGTTTAGTTACCGTATTTACACGACTACCACGCGCAGTTTCATGTCCATTATTTGCACCTAGAAAAAAGATAATTTATGGCTTACACCACTTCTTTCATGATTTTTAGCCTAAAAAAATTGACTTCTGCACATGAAATTCCTGCCTTAATTTTGCAGAAATTTAATGTGCAGAAGTCAATTTTTTGAGGCTAAAAATCATGAAAGAAGTGGTGGAAGCCATAAATGATCTTTTTTCTAGGTGCAAATAATGGACATGAAATTCTGCTTTGCATAAATCCAGTTGAAATGCCCTGTTATTATATTTATTAGGGGATTATTTTGTTCAACATTATTCTTTTTGAAACCATTCGATATCCAACGGTGTAGAACTGGGGTGCAACTTTTATGCAGGGGCAAATTTTGTGCCAAAAACCAAGGTGCATGGTACTCGAAGTAAATGCGATATTATTTTGAATCGCGCATTTTTGTAAATTTGAATGAGTACAGTATTTGAAAGAACGCGAACAATTCTCGAGGTATCCTTTGATTAAGAGTGGAGAATTTTGAAGATCCTGGATCAGCCTTTTTTCGGTTCCTTCCGTTTCCGGATATTTTTTCAATTTCCGGAAGTGAATAATGCTGGAACGAGAACTTGAAGATTACTGTAGGTTGCCTGGTATTCGATTAAATACGGTATTATTTTGAATATCAGATTTTTTGTAGAGTGGAATGTGATTTTGAGCTATTCTCGAAGTATGCGTCAGTTTTTGACAAAGGAAACTTGAAGATTCCGGTCCGGCCTTTTTATGTGTCTTTCCTTTTAAAATTTCCGCGAGTGAAAAATTGTAGAACGAAAATTTGAAGATACTGAATTTTGCTCAATTTAGGTCAAATTTTGGCTTAAAAAAGGCTTTCACGTTTTTTTTTTCTTTCCAGACGGCTATGCCTTCTCGCAGGAAGAACACGGGGTAGTCCCACAGTCTGAGGTCATCCGAGCATATGACACGACCCAGCCGAAGCCCGGAGGCATGTGACGAGACTGTGTCGATTTGCGAAAAAAAAAAAAATCTCCCCCGAGTGAAAGAAAAAAAAAATGCATTCCCGGAACAAAACAAGAAAAGCGCACCAACACGAAGTGCCAATATCGAGACAAGGCCCAAGTGCCAATTTAGTCGCTCGTTTGCTCGCTGTTTCGACCCCCGTCCCTACCCCTCATCTCCGTGACGAGTTGCCGACCCTAATTTAGATCAAAACAAGCAAAAAAAGAGGTAGGCAGTCGATGGCTTTCAATTTATTTGCGACTGACTTTTTCCATCGGAATTTTGGAAACCAAGGTGTTTTTTTTTTCTTTTAAATTTATTTATTTATCTAATTAGTCTCGAGAAGCCCCCTTTGTTTCAATGGAGCCACCCGAGTTTTATTGATCGAGTTGTGTGTTTTTTTTCAAAGAAAAATTCCGCCACTGATGTTTTTATTCTTTTTGTGAAGCTCTCGAGCGAAGAATATCATGGATTTGTTTCGGAGAGGAAGAAAGAAAAATGCCTTGGCTTCCGATCGCGTTTATTACATTCTGTGGAGGTGACGAAATTCAATTGAGAAGGTATCAATAAAACCCGAACAACCGAAGAAAAAAAATTTACTCGAGCGCCGATTTGATGTGTAAGAAAAAAGCAGAACAAATCGAAGAAAAATTACGTAGTAATCGCAGGTCTTTTTTTTTGGTCGGGATCTCGTTGATGTTATATGAGTTCGAAGATGACTATTTTTTGATCTCAGCTTTCCCTCGCGTATGCATTATAAAACGAAAGCTTGTTGGTGCAATCAGTGTGGGCTTGATGTTTGGCTTTGCTGCACGCAAAAATTATACTTCGTAGCGGGTAATGAGAGAACTGCTGAAAAATTGGCAGGTGCGTTGTTTGTTTTTTGGCGATGAAACGAAAGGTTTTTTTGTGCTTTTTTGTATGCCGTATTTATGCGAGTGCGAGACGAGAATTTTTCTTGATTTTTCGACGTTCTGAAGATCCTGAATGATTTGAGATTGAGTTTTTCATTAAGCGTAGAAAACTCATGCTAACTTTTCGACTGCGATTACCGTGAAGCTTTTCGTCACTATTTAGTAAAGGTAAAGGTTTTGTAAAACTTAGTAAAGGTGAACAAAATTCGATTCAGAGAATTCTTTTTTTTTAACTCGTTTTGTCAACCTTTTTAATTTTTTTTCAACTTAGTGACGGTTAACAAAATTCAATTGGATGAATGCGTTTTGTCAAGTTTTCTTCAACTTATTTTTTGTTGCGCAATGAAACGTTGTAACCGTAAGAAAAATTCGATTGAGAAAATTAGTTTTGTCAAGTTTTTTGTCTCATGTTTTTAAATTTACTGACGGTGAACAAAATTCGGTTGAGAGAATTAAGTTTGTCAAGCTGTTCGTCCAATTTTTCGGAACGTAGTCACGGTAAAAATCCCATTGAGAGAATTCATTTTTTCTATTCGTTTTGTCAAATCTTTTTTCGAAGCGTAGTGACGAAAAGAAAAATCGATTGAGAGAATTTCTTTTGTCGAGCTTTTTGTAAACTTTTTTTTGTCCTATGAACAGTAGTAACGGTAAACAAAATACAATTGAGAGGATCCAATAAACCTTTTCTTACGGGCTGATGTTTCATGTATATCTTGACGGAAAATTTTCCCGTGAGAAAATTTCCGTTATTTTTCTTTTCATCAATTATAGATTTTGTCTTATTGAAAAAGAAATCCTGAAATTTAATTTCTTGACAAATTGAATTTGAAAAGTTCATTACCGTCTTGCATTCGCGTAAATACGGTATTTCGGAACCGATGTACGCAAATGAGTTCCAATTCATTCGAGAAAGAAAAAAATACTTGAAAAAGCGTTGTTTCAATTTGATTAGGCCAATAAGCAGCTGCACAGCCGACGAGAAATCTTCATCGTTGCATGTCATTTGTTGCCTAATTGTTTTGTAATCCTCTGTCTTTCTTTAAAAGAGAGCGAAAACGGGAGAAAACAATCTTTGAAAGAAATATTGTTAAAAATTTAATTTTGTTGGCGTCGGATACGTTGATTTGCTGTACAGTACTTGGTTACCTGGTTGTGATAAGTACCCGTGTTTCATGATTCACTTGGGGATTTTTTATTTTATTGGGGTTTTAAGTGTGTTTTTCTCCCCTCCCTTTCTAACCCGAATTCTTTTGAATATATATTTTGTTTTAAAAGGGTTGTGCTTGAATTCGGCATTGGGTTAAATTTGTCGTTCCTTTTTTTTTTTTAATGACCTGGTGCTTTCCGCTGAAATTCGTGGTGAGGTGAAAAATGAACTATTTGTTTATCCTTGCGGGGTTTTTTTCAGTGTTGAGCCGACGTTTTGGTGTGTGAGGCAACTTTTGAAATGGCGCGGGGGGTAATTTAGGTTTCAATATAAGTTGAGAGATTTATGTTGTTGTGACAACCTGGTTTTATTTTGAGAACCTGTCTTTTTTATTTTAGTCTGAGATATTTGCGATGGAAAGAAAGATGTGTTTGTTCCAGTGATTTAATTTTCAGGTCAGACATGCTTTATTTTTTATTTTCTTTTTTTTGAATTTTACAAATTTGACTTGCCTGCTTCAAGTAACGCTTGTTTGAACAGTCACCAAGAATTTCAGTGGACTTCTTGATGATATTCAGTAAAGTTAATAAAGCTTTTTTTGATATGTTGGGTTGTCACATCAATAGAAAAGCACTTGTTTATTTTCTGAGAAATTGGTAAAGGGAAAATTTTTGAAATCACAAACTAGTCTGAGTTGATCAAGAGGGAATTCATGAAGAAAGCGATGTTTTTCTCAAACCTTTCTCCGCCAACCGCGCAGCTGTTTAATTATTTTTCCATGGCATTTGCACATTTGAGACAATGAGTGCAATTAACCGCGAGGAAATCATTATTTCTGTGCCGGAAACTGGTTATTATTTGGGTTTTTGATTCTAAAAAGAAAAAAATCTTGTGAAATTCGGAGGACTTTGAAATGCTTTTTGGTGTTGCGGCTTGAATTTTTTTAATTTGTGGCGCGGGAGAGAAAGAGAATGCGTTCCAATTGTTTTTCGTGTGCTTGAATATACGAACAACAGTGCATCGGTTAAGTGCTTTTTTGTTTTGATTTCATATGATTTTAAACCGTGACCATCTTTTTCTTATGATCAATTTTTTATGTTGAATTTTGTTTCCTCTTGAAAATAATGGATTGTTTTAGCTGTTTCATCCTTCTCAGAAATCGGATTAGAATTTCGGAAGATTTCGCTGGAATTTTGAATCAAATTGGTTTTGGAAGAGTAATTACGTATTTATTTTGTGATTGCTGACGGTTTTCTTGACTTCGCAGATGGGTGTTCAATTTGACTGTGTGGAAGACAAATGGAGCCCCTCCTATCATCTGGTTTTGGTCATGAGTGATTCTGGCATGTTTCACGAAAAAGTGGGTGAAAAAGCTTCTCTTGATTTTAAATTTTATGATTTAAATGTATTTTCAAGCTATTAGTTTCTGAGTTGGGGAATTAATTGGACTTACAGTAGGATGATAAATGAAATCATATTTTCTTGCCAAATTATTAGTATGGACCAATATTCACAGATGTCCTTCCTGTAGGGATTTATGAGGATTGTACAGTTGAATCTCATGAAGTCAAATTTCAAGGGAACAGTCACAAAATTTGACTCAAGGAGGTTTTGAATTATGTATATAGATGTTAGACTTATGGAATTGAGCATTTTTATTGTGGGAAACTGAAGAATTGCACATGGTGATTTTCTTGGCCTTAAATTGCTTTTCAAATGAGTAGACAGGGTGCTGAACTTGGAGACATGGGTTCATAAGCCCAATTTAGCCTGTCAACTCATTTCAAAGAACATCAAATTCTGTTTTTCATGGCTTTTTTCCTGTTTCAATAAAATCATAGCCTTGAGGCCTCAGAAAATTTAACTTATGGATGCTTTATAGAGGAAAAGCCTTTCAGTTAGGGAAGTTCTTGATGCATTGTTTCTAAGGGAATTCAGACAGGGGCTTTGAAAAGTGTAACATATAGAGAGGTATTTGACTTAGAGAAGTTTGGCTTAATGAGGTTCAACTTGATCAAATATTCAATTTTTTGTTTTTTAAATCTTTTCTGTACTTCAAATAATGGTTGAAACAATTTTTTTTAGCTAGCCTGACACATTTTGAGCCCCCAGCATGACATGGGTGGAGAACTGGCTCTGGCTGTAACTGGGAAGTTTTCACACATCATCATGCAGTTAATTGAAAAACTTTTTCAAACATCTGATAAAATTCCAAAACCTTGAAACATTATGGGTGCTATATGTCATGATTTTTTTGCTATCACATTGTCTATACTGTAAAAACATCTGAGGTTGCATTCTACTGGGACAGCAGTACTTAAATTCCTTGTGTGTAGAGCCCAAAGAGAATAATTTGCACCTGTTTTAAGGTATATTCTGAAACTTGTGTTTCAAAGTGTATACCAATTTAATTACAAAAAGACCTTTACATTTGACTAAGGGAGGATTGGCCCAAAATATTTTGAGTTGAGAAGATCATTTTGAACTTCAGGGAATTTATATAGGGATGATTAACTCAAAATCCAAATTAGGATGGCTTGACTTGGTGGAGTCCTATGCTGTAATTAGATTTGCAATCATGATGTGCTAGATCAAAAGGTGTTATATTTCTGAATGCAGAAGAGAGGACGTAATGAAATAAAAAAAATTTCCTCACAAAAGGTTAATTCAAACAATTTGATCTTGTGATCAACTCCAGCTGTTGAACATTTTCAGCCATGTTGTATTCAGCACTTGGTTGACATCTGGCCGCTCACTTGGTTTTGGATTCAAGAGTTCTCTGGAAAAGATTGAAGTGTGATGTTTCAGAAGATTTTTTGTTTTTTCATTGAAGTGTTACTTGTAAGACAATATTGCACCTGATGAGTTTTTTGCAGCTTCCAGGTACATAGGTCATTACAGGGAAGAACAGACTTTTGTTCATCTGTTGTTGGAGGAGATAGTTGGGGTCTTTGTCACTGAAGGGCATTTTGCCTGTGATCATGATGAACAACATGCAACCCAAAGACCACATGTCGTATTTGTCTGAGTAGTATGGTAAACCCTGAAAAATATTCATTGAGAATCAAGTCAAGAAATTCCAAGGCCGTTTTCAATGGGTTTTTCAGTGAATTGCTTTCCAAATTTAATGGCATTGTATTTCTTGATTTCCTCTCAAGATATTACAAGAATTCCTGCTGGGTAAAGTTGAATTGCAATAATGGGAACAGAATTAAAAGTTCAACCTCAGATCTAGTTTGACCAAAAATAAAGTAGATAAATGTTTCAAACAAAAATTCGACTATTTGAGAACCATATTAGCTATAGGAAACTGACATCAGTTTCAAATTCAATTGCTTCCAATACAAATGGAATGATTTCTCTCTTGATGGACATTTTGTTAGCCCACAAATTGAAAAAAAAACAAGAAGTCCCACTTTTGAAATGACAGATTCAATGACAGATTTGATTTGACAGATTCAAAAATTTTAAATTTAGATATTCAGTATCTGTATAATACGGTTTATAGATTTTAAATACATTATACCCCATTGTTGGCAAGTTCTGCTGGAATTTCACTGTGCTGAAGTTTGAGCTTATAGGATTGCCAGATTTCAGAGCAACATATGCAAGAACTCATATTTGAAGTTCAATTCAAGACCATCTTATTTCTTTGTTTTATGCAAGACTGAATCCAAATTGGATTAAGAATTTTTAGTGATTGTGTAGAGAAAACTTTTTAGTGAGTATATGTACCATGTGTCACAGCCATGTTGAAATAACAAAGGTGTTCTGATCTTGTAAATTTATGTCTTGGAGATGCTGAGCTGTGCGCTGACATTACATTTGTGGAGGAAGTTTTGACAGTTTAAATAGAGGGAAATTGTTTCCAGAAATAATGGAAATATTTTTGAAGTCTTCATTGTTTGTATAATTCCATTATAGTAAATAGTTAATATTATGACTCAGAACCTTCTATGAACAAATGTACTGTACATGCATTGAAAGGTACAGCAGTGATTTCAAACCTAGCCAAACAATGTTCATATGAAAATGGAAGGATTTTCAAAACTTACTTGGAGTATTTCAGGTGCTGCATAAGCCATGCTTCCACAGAATGTTCTACTCAGAGCTGGTTGGCCAGTGACCCTGTTGACATATCCTCTTGCAAATCCAAAGTCTGTTAGTTTCACTGTGCTGTTCTGATGCATAAGCACATTCTCACATTTTATGTCCCTGTGTGCTATTCCTTTTCCATGCAAGTACTTCATGGCCTGAAGAATTTGCCTGTGAAAATTTCTTGACTTTTATTCTATGAAAGAGTTTTCTGGATGATTTATATGGCACCCACCAAAACATGTATTTGGAATCCTTCTCAAGAATGGGGCCATGCTTCTGAATGTGCTCAAGTAAATCTCCCTGAGGGCAATAGTCCATGAAAACAAACACCATTTCACCCAAGTCCACAACTTGTCTGGCTCTGACAAGGTTTTGGTGGTTGATGGACTTGCTTATGGCCAGTTCTCTTGGGAG